TCACACAATAAAATGGAAATTAATTATTTAAAAATCATACATTGTATTTTTCTTGATTTTTGTTTTAGATTCCATCACTCACTGTTGAAGAGTACCTATGATAAAAATTAGTCTTCTACAAGCTTTGCAAGTGGGAAAACCTGAAAAATCAACAGTGTATCAAATACTTGTTCTCCCCACTGTATGTAGGAAGTCAGCATTTGCTGCATCTACCAGGGGATGTGTTGTAGTCTGTGATCATCCGAATGCCTTCCCACATCCTCCTGGTGTGGAGAAGATCCTGGATCTTCTGGCTGTGGTTCTGCTTCGCTGATCTGATGGCATGGTTTCAGTTGGCACACTCTGTTTTCAATGTCTCTTTATCACTAGACTTGAAAGCTGAGTTCTTGATTGCTGAACCTCTCCATTTATCCAGGGTGGTTGGTTGGCCCGGGTGGTGATGTTCTTTTTGATTCTGATGTCCTCAATGCATTTGTTGATGTAGGCTGACACAGTCATGGCATACTCATCATTATTTAATAAGTTGTCATAGGTTGCTGCAGCCTTGTGCTTTTGTCTTTCGTAAAATACCTTCAGATAGTCCAATGGTGAGGCTGTCATGGTAACTGTTGCCACCCTCTCGTTTAGAGGGGAACTGCTTAATAGGTCAAATATCCCTATCTCACAGTGTTGGAGAATCTTTAAAAAAAATCCAGTATTCATATTACGATCCGGATCATCACCAAAATTGTATGGATTGTATGATCTGGTTGAACTGTAAAGTGCCTTGAGATGACATGTGTTGTGAATTTGGCGCTATATAAATAAACTGAATTGAATTGTTCGTTGACATGAGGGACACCTGATAAAATGCCTGTACACAGACAGACACACACAAACTAAAAAGATCACTTCCAAAGTGGAGGTAATTATTGCAGAGTAAGAAAGGTTAAACTAAACAGCACATATTATTTTACCTGCTGATGCAGCAGAATTAGTGCCTTTTTGATGGTTTGCATCTTCTAGATAATCTTAAACTAGTGTTGTACCATTGCATCAGTCGCTGCAGAGCTTGGACTGCTGCCATGGTAACAGCAGCTTCCTGTTGCGGTAGTGCGAGGAAAGTAGGGATGGAACGGTTTTTGAAAACCGCCCGAACCGTTC